TTCATAGCTTTGGTTTCACAAGTCACAAGTCACAGGTCACATAGTATCATGTTTATGTTATAATTTAATTCGTAATCAAAGGTCATAATTTTTTTTTGCCATGTCACAAAATTGTTTGTCCAGGTCAGGTCACATACGTATTTGCCAAACCATGGAACACAATTTTATGTTCACACTTAACATGGTCACAAGTTACAAATTTATCTGCCCAGGTCACAGAATTGTTAGCCCACGTCACAATTCGCATAATTATTTGCCCAGGTCACAAGACAATTTTATGTGCATATGTGACATGGTCACAGGTCACAAGTTTATGAGCAAATGTCACAGGTCATACATCTGCATATGTAGGTCAGGAGTCATAAGTTCCTGTGCACTGGTCACAATTCAAAATTGCATGTTCAGGTTATTGGTCACAGATCTTTGTACATGGGTCACATGTCACAGTTTCAGTAGGGCACCAATATCTACAATAAAAAAATAATATAACACAGGCAGGTCACAATCCTTTTACTATTAAAGCATACGGTATAAATCATTGGTCACAGATGTTATTGCAACCAACATATATAGGTCACAATCTAGGTATGCTATGATTTAAACATCACAAATATCTTATTTCAATCCGTAATGACATAATTATTAGGTCACAGATCCCACACGAAATACTTCACAAGTCACAAATGACTTTATAACGTTGCCTGTATGTGTCATTTTTTTTACACTTTAGATGTTGGGTATTAATGGAAAATCGCACTATTGAGATTATCATTCCACTGTTTACTTTCACTGATCATAGAACACATGGTGCAGGTCACAAATTAAACATGCAGTCATTTTTCTAGTGTTCATATGTTACATATCTATCCAAATTGTCACAAAATTCAATCTAATTTCACATGTACAATACTCTATCTTAGGGTCCCAATTTCATGTGAAATATTAATTGATAACAATACATGTTATATTTCATTTGTGCATCTATATTTTTCCACTGTTCACAAATGGATGATAAATTTCCAAAACTTCAATTATCAATATAACAGGCGTTGTTGTCGTCTGAACATAATAGCAATTACGGTCGAGCAACACCAATGATGAATGTGCTTTATATAACAATGAAACGTGAACATAACCCATCTTTTTGCAATAGTGTACAAGAAAAATTCAGTCATCAATACCATTCCTTGTCATAATTCATTCTCTAAGGCATAGAGAGAGTAATTGATGCATAGAGGAATTAAGTCACGGACACAAAACATGGTCACAGAGATTCATTTCAGTTACAAAGATTGTCTGGTATGCTTTCCATAACTCGATTAGCGTAACAGAGGAGTTTTAACGTCACAGATAGAAACTCCGACCACATATACACAACATTTTGCACTACAGAATATGAATCTGTGACCAATATCACATTGCTACGAATTCTGTCACACACCCACATTTTCAATGTGCTACACAATTTTTAATTTCGTCACCGAGAGTTTCTAGTATGCTTTCCATAACTCGACGTGCGTTACACAAGAATTTCAACGTCATAAACAAAAACTCCGACCACATATACACACATATGTTGCGATACAAAATATGAATATGTGACCAATATCACATTGATAAGATTTCTGGCCACACGCTCACATTTTTAATGCACAACACAATCTTTAATTCCAATTGATCTGTAATCCGTGATTGTGACCACTATAGCATCAATACGAACAAAGAATGGCAGTAACCATTGTCTCCGATTCATTTCTTCTATTGAAATAACACACAATTCATATCACGTACCGATGACAACGTAGACTACACAAAGCGCACACCGATGACTGATTTTGTCCTTAATTCGATTACCTATAACCTCTGTAAACAAACAATTTTCAATTACGATTTTTACAGATCAGAATTGTGACAATATGAGTTGTTTTGATATTAGTGGCCTTTTTTGCAAAGAAGACATGCAATTTTTTGGAGGATTATTTTTCAAATGGTAACTGAATCCTTGATTTCAAGAAGTGACCGCGTGATTTTAGGAACCATATCTAATCATACCATATTTGTATATATACATTATCTATAATATATATTATATACCCATTTATAACCTGATTTCTAAAGACCTGGGTTATGTATTGTTCCCTTCTATCAATCCATCTTTGATTGCTCACTAAAGTGACTACTGATTGCAACGAAACACATAATATATTTATTGTTAAAATTAAATTAAATTCGAATTTTAAAAATGAATTTTAGCCCTTGTTTGATGGCCATTATTTAAAAAAAAAAGTTTTAAATAGTGATTTTATGGAGAATGTGAGGTTAAAAAGTTGAAAAAAAATTGAATTTACATGTAAAATGTTTTATTATATAAATGTGTGGTTCAAAATGAGTGCGAAAATTAAAGAGTTTTGTTGTAAAGGAAAATAAACAAATGTGTAGGTAGATCCAAATTTATAGTGAGCAATATAAGATGTTTTTCAAAGTTCATTGGCCAAAATTCGACTACATCAAAGTTCAGTGGCCAAAATTCGACGATCTCAAAGTTTAATGAGCAATATAACATTTTTCAAAATTTAATGGCCCAAATTCGACTATGTTAAAGTTCAACAGTATGATGAGGCGTCACATGTGCATTCTGTCAGCTACGTCATCAATTCCGTTAGAGATTTGCGATGAAAGTTATGTCAGTGAATAACGTAAAACGTTTTTCAAAGTTCAGTATCAAAACTTGACATTTTAAATTTCAGTGAACAATCAAAGACATATATATAGGTTCAATGACCATTGGAGCAATTAACTCGCAACATTCTTTCACTAATTACATGTTATGGGGCCTGGAATTAATATTCTTAATCCTATAGAGGAAACCATTGAACATGATCATGTATCAAACAAATATGTACGTAAATCGTTTCTCATATTAAGATTGAACTGTAAATTATAACTATAACTATATATATATATATATATATATTTATTGAATACTGCTTATTGAACCTAATGTACCTACTTATACCTTCAAATCTAGCATAATTATGGTGGGAGGGGGGAATTAGTCTTTCTGAAAAGGGGAACTCAAATTTAAGAATTGGAGTTGGTGGGTATAAAATTCCAAATTCATTAGGTTGCTTACCACAAAAGATATTTTGAAGACTGGGGGATTTTGTCCTCAATTTCTTAATGAGCTGGCTCATTTTCTGCAGTGTTTTACGTGTGAAGATACAACAAAAAGGTGTAAACACAATGATGTATAAAGCATGTTTAGTAAATAATGTTCACTTTAAGGTCCACTTATATGTTACTGGATGATGACATCATCAATGACAAATTTTATCATAAAATAGAAGTATTATTAAAATAATAAAAGAAATATTTTAGAATTTTAACGTGCACCTTTGAAATATTTTTTGCAAGTGTGTTATAACAAACATTTAGGCTGCCCACAATTTTAAAAATACATTACTCACTGCATCCTAGAGAGAATCTGGTTTCTATTTTCGTACAGATTAAGAAAATATAATTGACATAGTTGAAAGAATAACTTTTCTCACATTTTTCTTAATATGCCCCTACAATAAATAATGATATTTCATATTTGTTGATGATAAAACACATTAAATAAGAATATATTAGAAAATTAAGAAATTGACTATATTCTCAATAATAAACGTGAGTTATTATTTGGAATGGACAAAAATGGAAAATAAGCCTATCTTTATCAAACGAAATGAGTACATAAGCTATGCTGGCCGAAAGAGAATATTTAATGTTGATGGCTACATTGCATATGGACATTATGTTAAAATAGAATGAAACCATGATAATTATATCCTCGGGAAAAAATCACCTCTTAGGGGTTATGTTGACCCCAATTCAAAAATCAAGTAAATAATTTGAAAATTCAAAAATCAGGTATGCATTTAATTAATTAAAAATATTTATTAAATAAAGATAATAAACTCATAATTACATGATTAATAGTCACAAATTTATTTATTGTTCACATATCATCAAATTAATTGGTCATAAATTATTTTGTGGCCACAACTCAAAAATTTTGTTTGTCACATTATTTCGAAGTCACAGATCATTCAAATTACATGTCACATTTTATTTCTGGATCACATAAGTTATAATTTATTGGTCACAAATTATTTTTTAGTCAGACACCTAATATTTAATCACAAATCAACTAAAATAGTTGGTCACAGACACCTAAATAGTTGGTCACGTACACCTAATTATTGGTCACAGATACTCCACCTGTTATCATCATCGCCACCGCAACAACCCCCGCCACCACCATCGCACAACGCACCACCCACAGCACACCACCACCATAGCCTATTCATTTCACCACCACATCTCACCAGAGTGGGTAGATCTACATCGCGAGGAAGATACAGACAAGAAGATGAAGAGAAGATGGAGAGTTAGAGTGAGAATAAATTATTACAGTTTAAAAATACCCTGAATTCTAATGGTCTCGTATCGGCACTCGAAATCGGAGGTGTCTCAAGTGGCGATCGCTCCTTAACGGCAATGATAGTCTAAGGATAAGATAGAGAGATAGAGATGGGAGGATATGATAAGGGAAGAATTTGGGGGAAATGATTAGGGTTTTAATTGAATTGAATGTGTTAATTATATATAATACTAGATTTTTGTATAAGTAAACTTCATCCCCTAATTTTGAATTTGAAAGTTTTAATATCTAGTTTTATGTAATTTCCTCTATATCCTCCGGTCCAATCCACCACATTGCATATGGACATTATGTTAAAATAGAAAGAAACCACGATAATTATACTCTCCGGTCCAATCCAAAACTTGAATACCAAACACGTCCCACCAAAAAAAAAAAAATTAAAAAAAAAATAAAGAAATGCAAGAGCAAGAGCAAGTACACTAAGGGTGATGGGGCTGAACAATAAAAAATAAAAATACTCCCTAAAGCGAGTACATCAGAAATACAGAATTGAGATGGAAATGCAAGCAAGAAAATATAACATCGAATGGGGTCATTGATTAGGATTTTCCGATCAACAAAATTCCAAATGTGTCAACTATTATATTTATATACTCCCCAGATTGCTAGAAGCCTCGACAAATCAATTACAACACAGGCCACAGCCATCAATCACGTGTCCGGACAATTAGAAAACGACGTCACAATGAATTATAAGGAAAAAGAAAAGTGAAGTCCAAGAAACTAAGACATTGAAGTGTGTACGGATATGTGATTTACAGATGTAAAACGGGCACGTCACCAGATACAGATATCTAAATCTGAAGATCGTCCAACGATAGTTCATTTGCATTCAACAGCTTCATTTTCTGCAACAGAACAAATGGAGCAAAATCAGATCCATAAAAACGTTCATTTTCTGCATGGATTGGGGCGAATCCGATTGCAGAGCAAGTTAGAACATGATTGTTATACAATTTCTTGTGTTTGTCAATATTTCTTCCTCTTCTCCCTTCAGTTATAAACATATTTTGCGTAGATACTGGCATGCACTGTGACATTTCTGTATATTTAAGCATACATACAACTTTTGGATATCCCAAATCATATATGACAGTTATAAAAGCTATAATTTAACATTATAGTCATAAATGAGAAAAATCAATATTTGTTGAGAGTTAAGTTCTATGTACTCGTATTTTGCTTGTATCCTTCACTAATGTGTTGCCAAAAGGAGACAAATTATAATCAATTATATAATTTCAAGCTGCCGAAAATTTGGAAGTTTATAAAGTTGTGGAATGAGGCGGAAGAAAGGAATGAAGTCAGGTACTGCCTTACCGTAATAAATTGTGCAGGATCATCAAGACTGGATGAGCCTAGGACAATTTCCCGCTTCAACTTCGTTGTTAACTTATGACAAACCCGCAACTGAGGATAAACAATAGTTTCAGAAGAAATGAGAGGGAGAGGGAGAAGTGAAGTGGGAGGGGGAGGGGGGGAGGGGGGGGATAAAAGAGAGAAAAGACAGAAAAATAAATTAGGGTTGGGTGAAATTTTGGGATGGAAAATAGACTGGGTTTGTAGATAAATATAAATCTGTAATAATATTATTAATATTTAAAATATAATTATTACTTTTGATTTTTGAATAAAAATTCTTTCAATTTTATTTTTGAATTGAAAACTTAAAAACTCTGTGTATATGTAATTTTCACAATAAAGAATTAAGTAATTGGGCTTACGACATCTAAATAAAATGTGGGTCGAACTATATGCATAGAGATCGAATTCCTTTAGAATTATATTTTATGATGGACGAAATACATATAGAAATTATATATAACGTTATGGTCCCCCAATTCATATGCAATTTCTCATTTTTTGTGTTATCCCATTAATACAAGAATTATAGAGAAAGTATATTGAAGAGGAAGATCCTAAACCCATAATCAAGAAAAATGATTTAAGAATTCTAGAATTCATAATCAATAATCAAAATTAAAGATTCAGAAGACAAAATCCGAAGATTACAATTCGAGATACATATCAATGGATCAATGTATGTTCTGCATTAATTATTTTTCTTGATGATATGACATGGACATTTTGGCAATTATGTAAAGTTTATAAAGTTAAATTTCATAAATATTCAACACCTTATATTGATGATATAGGTATTTCATAGTCAAGATTCATTATCTAATTGGGTTTGTATGGATGTTGCATGGAAAGTTGGACTAGGATCATTCATACATGGGTAGTCATCCTTTGACAGTTCCACTCTACTAAGCTTTTCAATGAGTTCCTGCAGGCAACAAGAGAACTGGTACAGTATTCCACTATTTTAGGGCAGGCAGCAGCCCCAAGTAGAAGGGAAAAGGATAACACATGGTACTCCACGACTGCATTTGCTCCATACATAATGAACAAAAGCACTCAGTACAAAGTGAACAAAGCACATGCCGGAAAATCACTTCTTCAACTAGTAAGCTATAGAGCAGGGGCAAGGATAAGAAAAAAGGAAGATACAGATCCAACATGGTAAAGGTAGAATTGGTTAGGATGCCAATACTTGACAAGGCAGAATATATGAATGTTAAATGTATGCATATAACAAGTGGGTAGGTCAATTAGAGCACAGATATATGATACTGTGTACTTAATGGAGTTTGAGTTTCCAATTTCTGAAGCTACATGTAATTATGTCAATAGAGACACAGAGCAGTTAACAAAAGAAATCCTCTCTCTCTCTCTCTCTCTCGGTCTTGCACACACACGAATGGGTTAGTTGGTTTCTCAACCCTATCATGGGAGTTTCAATGGATTGCAATTAAAATGGGGGGGGGGGGGGGGG